TTAATCGCTGTACTGTTTATTAGGCTCCAGGACTTATTTACTAGTTGCAGTTCAGTATTTCTTTATATTTTAGCTATATATGGGCCATTTTGTTTCTTTAATTAGGTTGAAATGGTATTATGGTATGTATTCTCCATCATGCAGTTTCGCTTTATCTTATGTTTGTGCAAGCCGCTCATGTTAATGCATGCAACTCATTGGTTTTCACTGTAAAGTATATTTTATTGTATCAGAATATCATAATTTACCCATTCTCTCTTAATGGATATTTAGTTGTTTTCTGTTTTTGGTTATTATAAGCAATTATGCTATGAATATGATGGCACCTGCTTCTAACTGCTTCTTTTAGGTCATTCATAACAGTATAGTTCATGAGAACCAAAAATAAAAACAACCCAAATGTTCATCAGCTGAGGGGTAGACAAATAAAATATGGTATATTCATGTGCTGGTATCTTATTCATAAAAAGGAATGAAATACTATAGATCTACAACATAAATGAACCCTGAAAACTGTATACTAAAAGTGAAAGAGGCCATAAAAGACAACATATCATGTGGATTCCAGATGTCCAAGAAATGCTTAGAGTGGATTCTAGCATCTGGGGGAAACATAAAATGGTGAACCATTGCTAATGTGTTTGAGGGATCTTTTAGGAAGGAGGTAATTGTGAAAATGTTCCAAATTTAAGGTTATGGCAAGATTATACAACTCTAAATACTGAATTATATACTTTAGGTGAATGAACTAATAACATGTAAATTATCTCATGAAAAAATGTAAAAATTATTTCTAAGGCAGTGTTTGCAAACCCAAGCCACAAATAGGTTATAAGCCAGTTTAGTGGCTCACTAACAGACTTGGCTTTTGTTAATTACTTTTTTTTTTTTTTTTCACATAAGAGCTGGGGTGTAGGCCAGAGTGTGGGAAAGGGGTGAGAAGATTTCACCAGAGAGTGGGTGGTGCGCAGAACAGGCAGATCTACCGAAATACATTGCTGAGGGGAGCCCTGGCCCAGGCCAGGAGAGGTCTGCTGCACCTGTGGGTCACATCCCTTGTCAGGGATTGAACTCACGCTGCAGTGGCTGGGATTAGCTTCATTATGCTGAGATTTAACTAACCCTTGTACTCCCAAGGAGGATCCAAACTTGGTTTTTAAAATGAAGTAGTGAGAGCCCACATCACTAAATGGAATATTTATGGAACATTTAAGTGAAAACTCATAGGTTGCCTGCTCTTTCTAGTGAACATACACTGTTTGCCCACAAAAGACTTAGTAAATTTTTGTTTGTTTCTCTGGCTTTACTATTTATTTATTTGGAGAAAGGAGGATTAGGAAATAGGATTACACCAGAAATGCAATCAGTATTGAAAGGCTCTTTAGAGAGCCAGAAGAAAGATCCCTACTGGTTTGACTTGTATCATCTCTTTGTTCATACTGGAACACATTTGTGTCACATCTAGCCTAGGGAGTATGAGAAAATCAAACTAGCAAGCTTTACCACTGCTTCTGTCCATTTTTTATTGGGTTGTTTTCTTTTTGTTAGATTGTATCAGTTCTTTGTAGATCTTGGCTATCTGCCTGTTATATGTATGATGTACAAATATTTTCTGCTATTCAGTTGGGTTTCTTTTTGTTTTAAAGATAGTATTTTTTAATTGTGCAGAAAAGTTTTAGTTTATTTTAGTCCCAGTTTTTTCAGTTCTCTCTTTTCTTTTCCTTGCTGTTGGAGACAAATCCACAGACATCACTGAAGCCTGTGTAGGAAGAGTGTTTTTGCCCGTTTTCTTCTATGTATTTTATGGTTTCCGACCTTACAGCCACATTTTTTAAATCCATTTTTAGTTAATTTTTGTGTAACATGCTGAGCTTTAGTTCTTTTATATGTGGTTGTCCAGTTCCCCCAGCACCATTTATTAAAGAGGTTTTTTCCTTTCTCCAAAATATATTTTTGTTTGCAGGCTAACTGTCCGTTTAGGTGTAGGTCTATTTTCAGCTCTCTATTCAATTCCATGTTTTTATGTGTATTTGTTTTTGTTCTAGTACCATGTTGCTTGGATTATTGTATTTTTGTATTATAGTTTGAAGTCTGGGCCATTCTTCCTCTTATTTTGGTCCTGATTGCCTTGTCTGTTCAGGATCTTTTGTGGTTCCATAAGAACTTTGTTTTCTTTGACACATTTCATTGAAACTTTGATAGGGATTGCATTGACTGCATACTGCTTTGGTTAAAATGAACTTTTAAACAATGTTAATTGTTCTAATCCATGAGTAAGGAATATCTGTCATTTTGTGGACTTATTTCTATTTCTTTTAACAATATCTTCGTTTTCATTGAATAGGTCTTTCATCATCTTCTTTACATTTACTTCCCCACATTTAGTTCTAATTGATGTAAGTTGGATTGCTTTTCTTCATTTTTTCCTCTACAGTGTGTGCATATAGGAAGGGAACTGATTTTTGTATATTGACTTTATAATCTGCCACTTTGCTGAACTGATTATTGTTTCATTGTTCTTACAGGGATTTTCTATTTATATTTTATGTCACCTGCTTTACTTGCACTTTTCCAATATGGAATTCTTTTCATGCCTTACTCTTAATTACTCCAGCTAGGATTTCAGTACTGTGTTCAGTATTGGTAAATGTGGACATTCTATACCAGATCCTAGAGTAAAAACTCTCTTTTATGCCATTGAGAATGATGTTAGCTATGGATTTGTCATATGTGGCCTTTATTATGTTGAGGTATGTTCCACCCCCATTTTTTAGGGTTCTTATCATAAATGGATGTTGAATATTATCACATGTCTTTTTCCATTATCCATATGATTATATTGTTTTTTCATCTTTCCTTTTGTTGATGTCATAAATTACAATGGTTGATTTTCCTGTCTCGCTGGAATAAATCTTACTTGGCCGTGGTGTATCATACATTTAGTGCATTGTTGAATTTACAGTTTGCTAAGATTTTGTTGAGGATTTTTGCATCTTTGTTCATCAGGGATATTGGTCTGTTGTTTTCTTCTTTTTGTGTGTGGTTTCTGGTGTGGTAACGGGGTAATATTGACCTCTTAAAGATGTATTTGTATGTATTCCCTCTTTCTCAAATTTGTGAGGATTTTGGGAAGGACACATCTCGTCAGTAGTGAGAGTGATTTGCAGATCAGCTTGTGTCTGGGTTTTCAGATCCACACCTCTAGTCTGCAAGCCTGACTTTTAGCACCATTTCATTCTGTCTGTTCAAGTTCCAAGAGAGGTCTTGGAAGAACCTCCAGGCTCTCAGCATTGTCTTCTTCACTGGAGACCTTGCTCACCTGGCTTATTACCCCAACATCTTCATGCACATCACTCCACAATTAGGAATGTGTTTCCACACTAAGTAGCTCTTTCCGTTCCATGGCCTTCCCAGTGCAGAGGTAGGGGTTTGAGCCACTGGTTCCCACTCCAGCCACAATACGTGCTTCTTTTTACCCACCTTTTGTTGAATAGAGTTGAATTTCCTCAGTGTCTCTTAACGTTGCAGTCAGCTTTGGTCTCTGATGTCCAGGAGTTCCTCTGGTTTCACCCCAAGTCACAGACTAGTGCAGGGTCCCTGTGGATGACTTTAGGCGACCCTCCTTGCAGTAAAACAGGGAATGTTTTCAATGCAAATGAGCACATTGAGTCATGCAATTTTATAGCTACTTTTGTGTTGTCGAAAAGACAAAAAAAGTACTAAGAATTGAAGCAAGTTTGAATGGCAACCAAAAATATAAAACTGAATCATTAGTTATGCTCACAAGATATTTCTTAAATCTTAGTCGCACATATAACTGGTTTTATTATAAAATATTTTCTGTTAAAGGGAATCTTTGGGAAAAATGATGAAAGGGTACATAAATGTTGAAAACAGGAGTCAGAAATGCCATTCCCTACTGCAGCTATTGAAAGGATACTGAGTACCCTGCTTCTTTTGCTTAAAACTTAATGAAACAGTTTGAGAGCAAGTCTTTTTGCTTTCTGAGCTTTTCAGTGTGCAAAAGTTTTGATGTGGCTAATTGATGACATGTGGAGAAAAGGATTCAATAAAAATTTAATACATAGTAAATAAAATATTTTTACTTGTGAAGCTAGTTTTCTGAACTTGGCCTACTTAAATGCTGGAGTCCCATATGTGCCTGAAGACATAATATAACCCTGTTAAGAAAAGTCATTCTACTTTAATAATCCTAAAATCCTAAAAAACGATTCATGGCCACCACTGGAAGTAAATAGTCTAAAATGTTAATATTTGTTTCAGAATACAGGTATTTTAAAACAATAGTTTTCCAGATTTTCTCACTTAGCATGTTACTGTAATTAGAGAGACTGTTTCTCTACCTAGTAGTTTTAACTGTAGGGAAATTATTCATAATGTACAATATACATTATTCCAAAATTCTCAACAATTTAGAAGCAAGTTAAAGCCCATCTGAGTAGTGTGTGCCCAATTAAGTGCTGATAATTCTAAGAAATGTGTAAGAAGAGGTTGCATAGGAACAAGTAAAAAGGGCTTACAATATAGTAGGAAAAGAAGGATACATGTATATTTTTGGTTTGTTTTACTTGGGGTGGGGTTTTTGTCTTTTATTTGAAGTAACTTTGGTTTATAACGTATTTTTGGAGATATGTCATTATTACTTCAAGTGTATTTTTTATTAGAATACTGTAGGAAAGTCCACTAGTTTTATCAGTGGTTATACTTGGATATTGAGATTCATATAATTTCCCTTTGTCCTTTATTATATTTTCCAAATTTTATTTAACCATTGTGTATTGACTTTAAAAAGTAGCATTTTCTTTTTAATTGTATTTCCTTAACGTGAGAAGTAACAAAAGCTAATATTTTCCTACTCTTCCATTACATAATATTCGGTTACTATTATTTTAAGCTGGAGGAATTTTGACAATGACATTTTCTTAAAGTTGTGTTTTTTCCTCTCCGTGTGGAATGAACACGTTTGTATTATTTCTTAGACCTGAAACACAACACCGAGGCTCTGCTCCCCATTCTGAGAGTGACCTACCAGAGCAGGAAGAGGAGATTCTGGGATCTGATGATGATGAACAGGAGGATCCCAATGACTATTGCAAAGGTAAGGCTAAGTAAGACATGCCCATCTGTGTGCAGTTTCTCATTCGAATGCTGGATTTACTGGCAGAACAGTCTTGATGATTCCTTGCTTATTGCATCCTTTTCTCCAAGAATAGTGATGCTCTTAGTTCTACCTAATTTATTAGGACTTAGTTCTATTCAGTCTGTTTTTCACCCTTTTTTGTTTTTAAGAGTGCTCATTTATATTTACTTTAGAAATTTTCAAAAATAATAGTAAACAAAAGATAAGTAAAAGTCTTCTGTTAAATGCTGTCATCCATAAATAATCTATAACATTTTGAAACGTAGACTTTTGAAGCACTTTGTTTTTCCTCATCGTGATGCCTAGAAAGGTAGGGCAAACTGAATTACAGATACAGATACTTAAGCTGTTGTAGATTGCCTGATTTCTTTTAAGCTTCTTCATGAGATTTTCTAGGATTCTTGGGTAAGCGTTTATAAATAAGGGAGCTTGTGTTACCATCAAGGAGGAGAACCTACTCCACCTTAATCTCAGCAGGTAAAGATAGATGTTAAAATATCTTGATTCCTGCCACTGATGGCAGCCTTTTCAGGCTTTTCTGAGTTCAGTTTTGGTTTTTAGAGAAGCAGTTTTTTTTTTTGTTTTTGTTTTTTTTTTTAGTTAAATAAATGGAAGTATTAACCTTCCCTCCTGGGGGGAAAAAATTTTATATCTGAAATTGCAGATATAAATAAATTTATGTTTAGCTAAATATATTGGAGTATTATGAATTGGGAGAATTTTGTGCTGGACACCTTATTTTTGTTTGAGGATGATTTTTTTTTTTTAAATCTACCAGTGCTTATCCTACAAGGCATTACTTGTTCACTGTAAATCATTAATCCTACTCTCAAGGGTTTTTTTTGTTTTGTTTTGGGCAACATGAACTCAGTCGTACTGTTGCTTGCTTGGTTTCAAATTTTCTTCTATAGAGTTATTATAGAGAAGATGACATTTTTAATTGCTAATTGAAAAATTGCCTGTCAGATACCTTTTCTTACTAAGTGAGTGACTATTTTCCTCCTATTATTTCTTCCAGGAGGTTATCATCTTGTGAAAATTGGAGATCTTTTCAATGGGAGATATCATGTGATCCGAAAGTTGGGATGGGGACACTTTTCAACAGTGTGGTTATCATGGGATATTCAGTAAGTTTAGTTGTCCTGCAAAAGAATTAGTTAGGTGATGCCTAAGTGTTTTTGTCCTCTATTTTTCAAGATTATACTGACATCAGTCTAACTGTAGATATTTCTTAGAATTTTGTTGTTAATCTTTGTTCTTGAAAAATGACTTACCTCTGGTGAAGAAGTACTAAGAGATAGTCATTAAATTAGTATCAGTAAATCACTTGCAACTCTCAAATTTAAAATATTACTGATTTTCAATGAAATGAAATTGTTGGTACTGATTTTCAATGAAAGTATGGGATATATAAATTTCATTTTTTCATTGCACAGAGTTGAATTTTGACCTTTTAGCTTTTGCCACATAGATACACAGAGGAGTACTTAAGATTTGGTAAAGTTTCCCCTCTTATTTATCCCCATTTTATGGCTTTATATTTAAGGAGACATTCAGAAGGTAGATTTAACTTCATGTTTGATGACTGACAATACCTGAAAACAGGTTTTCTACTTCATATAATTTAAATCTGGCTTGTCAGTGCCATTAACAGGTATACAAGTGCTCCCAATAGAAATAGTCTGAGTACTGAATTAGTATTTGTAGTTTTGGTCACTGTTTCCCACTTAGAGCTAAATCTTAGCTTCCTAAAGTAAGGGCAGTGCATTTAGTCTTAATTGCCTGTGTTTGTTTCTTAGGGGGAAGAAGTTTGTGGCAATGAAAGTAGTTAAAAGTGCTGAACATTATACTGAAACAGCACTAGATGAAATTCGCTTGCTGAAATCAGTGAGTATTAGATCATGTGTATGTACTGCAAAATATTATAAAAGTTTTACTGAAGTAAGACCTACCCAGTTTACACTCTTTAGAATGGTTAACTTCTGCTGTAAAGTTCCAGCATCCTTAAAAGAGGAAGATAACAATATTGACACATTCTGTGCTTGTGGTAGGGAACTGGTGGAATATGCTGCTCTGGGAATTTTCCCTACATATATACCAGAAAAACTTGCAAATAAACAAAAATGTTCATTGACTGTATGTATGTCTCAGGTAACACAAAGAATATTTTTCTTTCCCATTATGGTTAAAAGGAAAATTGTGTGAATAAGCATGTAATACCTGCTTCATATTTCAAAATATTATATAATATAAAATTACCACATTCTCTTGATACCTGGAACTTAGATAAATTCTACCAAAAACTTATTTTCAGTTTTGCTATAAATAAGAAAGATACTAGAAGGCGCTTACGTTCAGAAAACCTGAGTTTTGAACCAGCACTTTCCCAATAAATCCTCCAGCTCATCATTGTATTTCTTAGCCTTAGATTTTTCATTTGTAAAATGTGGATGTTGGGCCAGGAGATACATAAGGAAGTACTTTTCAGAGGACCAGTTTGTGACAAGATAAGGAACTCTTGCCCCAAAGTAAATCAATATACTGCTTTCTTGACAAAGTTTTTCTTTGAAAATGTTAACTGCAGTTAATGTGTAACTGAATTTTGCATACTGCAAAGCTTCCTAATTCCTCATAGCCTAGTAACCTGCTAATAATTTGGGAGTGACACTTTGAGTAGCAGCAAAATGGTTCTAGTAGAATAATAGTTCTTGTTGGCTGTAGTTCCTTTTGTGAATTGCCTATTTTCAGTTCTTGCCTGTTTGAGCTCCTAAAAATTTAGATGTTTTTCTTTTACATTTGTATAAGCTTGCTCTTGAAGTAAATAATCCTTTGTTGTATTTCCACAGGTATTCCCTCTCCCACCATTTACCTTAGTTCCACACTTTCCTTTGGCTAAATGTTGTCTCTTTCCCACTATAGGTTCGCAATTCAGACCCTAATGATCCAAGTAGAGAAATGGTGGTTCAACTGCTTGATGACTTTAAAATATCAGGAGTTAATGGAACACGTATCCTTTGAAGAACCTGTTTTAAAATGAATCATGAACTAATTAAAACCCAAAGAAAGGAACCAGATTTTATATAGATAGTATGGTTCTTTTCTCAAACTAAACTACAATCGGATTTATTTTTATTATAAACTTCTGAACACAGATGTAAATCAAATTTGTGTTTGTATGTTATGATTCTTTAGCGTATTGCTTTAGATGTTTTTATCTTTTTAGGTAAATTAAAGTCAAAATTTTTTTAGAAGATAGCCTTGTATTTTCTAAAAATACAAGGTAAAGTTTCTTTTGTTTTCAGTTAACATAAGTTTTAGTCAACTTAATTTTTCATGATAAATATGGGATAAACAAGAATTTAAGCCATTTAATAATTTACCTGGCTTGAACATTGAAGAGGTTGTATGATGTATATCATGCTTAGAATCTTATTCCTATAGTCGCATCATACATGAAAAAAAAAGAAAAAAGAGTTGTCTTATGTCTTTACCTTATTTCTGGAGGTGAGAGGGACCTTAGCTTATGTTTTTCCACAAGTTGATTTCAGAATTATTCACAGTGAGTGAGCTAATTGGAAGGTTATTGTAACAACTGTGCTTTGAAAGATTCACCCAGTTTCTCAGAGTAAAAGATAAAGTAGAACTTAGATAGGAAAATAAAACTATCTGTTCACAAACTTATTTTAAATGTTTAAGGAAAAACATGTCATGTATCATCCTACTTTACTATATGTTTAGCTTATCAGCACATTTTAATTTTTTTAAGGTTTATTTTATTTATGCATACAAGAGCTGGGATGTAAGCCAGAGGTGCCTGGGTTGGAGGAATATGGTGAGAAGATTCATTAGAGAAAGAGTAGGGAGCAGAACAGGCAGATGAGTGAAGTACATTGCTGAGGGGAGCAGTGGGTAGGTCAGGAGAGGTCTGCTGCACCATGTGGGTCACCTCCATGGGAGGGGATCGAACTCCTGCCGCAGTGGCTGCCCATAGCTTCGTAGTTATGAGACTTAACCCTTGTGCCACTAGGGAGGCCAGTTTTGTTTTTTTTTTAAAGAGGTGAGCTACATGTGGTTCTATAGTGTTGTGTCAAATAGGCCAAGAGATTTGAACAACTAAGCAGAAAGAGATAATAGCAAAGGAGAGAGCAAGTGATAAACTGAAAAGACTTATCTCCCATTCTGAAGTTAGTCTTAAGTTGTTTCCTTGGAGAAGTACAAGTCACATATCCCTGATCTCGAAGGAAAACTGCTATCAGAATCATCCTGTTTTAAAGCATCATCTTATTGTTGTGGTCACTCGATAGTTTGACTTTGTGTGTATGTGGTGCACGCACTCGCATGTGTTCATGCGTGTTCGAAGTATCAAGATGACGAATAACCAGGAAAGAAAAACACATACAAGATGTCTTTTTTATTCTTTTCCCTCTTATGCAGTCATGTAGTACTTGTCATTGTACCACCATTCGCTACTAATTTGGTTGCAGGGTAATTGGCAAGCATCAGTAGGTGGTTTCTCTGTATTTCTACCCATCAAGTCCCTTCTCTTTTCTCCCTTTGTTCTCACCGCTTCTCTCTGCTCTTCCTCCTGCTTCTCTCCCAACTCCACTGCTCACTGCTTTTTTGTTTTCTGTTACTAGAGATTGGGAAGGATAAAGCTGAGAGTGCTATGTGAAGGATTAATGTGTTATCTTACTCTCCTATCCATTGTGTCTTCCACAATAGAGGCATCCCTGCATGGAGTTAATACATTTGCATTTTTCTTTGTTTCTGCATAGCTGTTTTTTTCTCTGGAACATTGTCCTTTCTATATTGCAATATACCCTAAAATGGAAAGTTAAAATAGACTTGGATTCAACTGACTTTTGATATAAATTGGTTTATTATTTCATAGGGGAGGGAGAGGGAACAATGACTAGGGACAGATGGTCTTTATAATGTGGACATTAGCCACCCCCAAGTGTCATAATTGGCCTCCTAGGTGACCCGCTGTATCCATGGGATACTGGTTTTTCTTTAGTATGTATTTTGTCTCTTGCTAGTTACTACTCTTGTTTGTAATGTGCTCTAAATGGGCCTGTTACTCAGTTTCTAGCAACTCTTTGCCCTTTTATATCATCTGCCTCCCAATTTTTTTTTTTCATGTGACATTTTGATAGTCTATCCTTGTTCTTATTTTGTAAGCTAATAAATATATGATCGTTTTTACATCACCAGCTACAAACTTGAAATTTGTTATAAGGTTCTCTTAGCCTTCCAGTATCTAGTCAGTAGTTCAGACTCTTGCAGATATCTCACACTATTTTTTGTTTGTCTGTCTTTATTTTTGAGTCAAGATCCACATAAGGTGTATGACAGTTACTTTACTATTAGTCACATCAAGATGTTCCAGACTCATCTTGTACATTTCCTGTACTAAAACTGAATCAACCATTTCTCTTAAGAAGCCCTAATTCCTTTTCGTGGGTATTATCCAGAATATAAGCACTTAGGAGTCCATTTTGCTGCTGATTTGTTGATTCATTACAAAGAGCAAATACCTTAATTCCCCTCCCCTTTTTTTTTTTTTAAAGATTTATTTATTTATGCATACAGAATTGGGGTACAGGCCAGAGGCTCAGGGGTGGTGAGAGGATTCACCAGAGACAGAGCGGGGAGCAGAACAGGCAGATCGACGAAGTACACTGCTAAGGGGAGCAGCGGGCGGGTCAGGAGAGGTCTGCCTCGCCACGTGGCCACCTCCGGGGCAGGCGGGAATAGAACTCATGCGGAAGTGGCTTTAGTTTCTCAGTGCTGTGCTTTAACCCGCTGCGCCACCAGGGAGGGCCTCTTTTTTTTTTTTTTTAAGGTTACTTGAAGTTGCTCCAGCTTACTGACTCTTGGGTGGGTGCATTATTACTAAGATTTCACTTAGTTTCATTTTTGATAGTTTCTAATACAGTGCTTCAAAGGACACTAACCGTTTTCTTTCTAGTACCTGAAGCCATTTATCCTATCCAGTGTATTTTTCATCTTTCATTTTGTACTGTCCATCTCAGAAATTTGGTTTGGGTCTCTTTTTTTTTTTTTTTTTTAAGATTAATAAATTGATAAAGAACTGTGGTAAAGGCCCGAGTGGTGAGAAGATTCACCAGAGACAGAGTGGGGAGCAGAACAGGCTGCCTGACGAAGTACACTGCCGAGGGTAGCAGCAGGCGGGTCAGGAGAGGTCTGCTGTGCCATGTGGATCACCTTCAGGGTGGGGATTGAACTCATGCTGAAGTGGCTTTAGCTTCTTAGTGCTGTGCTTTAACCCACTGCACCGCCAGGGAGGGCCCTGGGTCTCTCTTTTTAAACAACTTCTTATGTCTTTACTTTGCAGCATGTGGAATAACCACATTGTTTAATGCCCTTGTCTACTGATTTTAATATCTGGGTCACTTTCAGATTCCTGATTATCCTAATTTTCATATATGTTTTTCTGCACTTTTTAAGGCATCGTGGTTTGATTCTTGTGGGTTGCTGGATGTTGTATTCCTGTAAATCTAGATAAAGTTTTGTTAGTTGGAAAAAGCTTTGATCCTTTTAAAATTTTACTTTTATGATTTGTTAGGTGAAGCCAGAGCAATGTTAAATCTAGGGCTGCTCATTCCCTTCTACTGAGGACAAGGCCTTCCAGAATAATCTACTCAATACCCTATTACTGAATTTTTCTACTCATTTTTTATTGAGGTATAGTTGTATATCACTGTATAGTTTTCAGTATACAACATAATGGTTTGATATACATTGTATGTCATTGTGTATATATATATATATATATGTACACACATTGCAAAATGACCACCACATTAATTTAGTTGACATCTGTGATCACAAAATTCTTGTGATAAGAAGTTTTAATATCTGTTCTCTTTACGTGTACTTCCATGTCCATGCAGCACAGTTTATAATAACCAAGCTGTGGAAACAACCTAAGTGCCCAAATGCAGATGAGTAGATCAGAAGATGTGGTGTATATACAGAAGGGATAGTACTTTGGCTATCAGAAAATAAAACTTGTCATTTGTGACAATATGGATGGAGTTGGGAAGGATCATGCTAAGTGAAATAAGTCAAGAGAAAGACAGGTGTGACTCACGTGTGGAAAATTGAGAAAACAGAGTCACATAAAGCCAAACTAAAAAACTAACTCTAGAAAACTGGCTGCAGACGGGAAGCAGCCAGAGGGAGTTGGGGTGAGGTGGGGGGTGGGGAACACATGCACTATAGTGGTGAATATGTTACAACAGCCTCAGAATGGGGAGCTCCTGTATCCAAAACAAGAAAGCAAGCCAGTGATGCCTAAGAAAAACATCAGTTTTCAGCAACTTTTAAATATATGATACGTTGTTGCCAGCGATGGCTGCCATGCCCTATGACACCTGCGTGTCCTTGTCCGCTCGGCTGGCGCTGGAAAGCCGTGCCTTTGGCACATTCACGCACTGTGCCCGCTCCGACTCCCCGCTCAGCCCCTCTGCTTCTGGTGACCAGTTTACTCTGCACTGATGAGTTTGGTTGTTGGGATTTTTCTGTTTTGTTTTAGAGTCCACATGTAACCATTCATACGGTATTTGTCTTTCTGAGTTATTTCGCTCAGCGTAATGCTCTCAAGGTCCACCCACGTCATCGCCAATGGCAAAATGTCCTTGTTTCTGACTCAGTGGTGCCCGTGTCTGTGTACACACGCACCCTACATGCACATGTGCACACCCCTCATTTTCTTCACCAGTGGCACTTGGGTTGTTTCTGTGTCGTGATTAGTGATGATGCAGTGAACATGAGAGCGCAGCTGTCTTCTTAAAGTAGTGATCTTGATTCCCTCAGCTAGATATTTAGAAGCGGAGTTGCTGAATCTGTGGTAGATCTCTTTCATCTTTGGAGGAACTGTATTGTTTTCCATAGTGGCTGCATCATTTACATTCCCACCAACAGTCCGTCCTCACTAGCTTTGTGTTCTCTGTTCTCTTTTGATGATGACCTAACAGGTCTGAGAAGTTTCTCCACAGGACGCTTATCTTCTCCTCCCCCAGCATGTACACACTTACCCGTTTGGACTCCTCCTAACTTAATTCATGACTTCTCAGCACTTTGGCCAGTGGTAGCCTCCTCCAGCTAGTTCCTTTCTCCCCTTTGTTGGTAGAGGGAGGTATTGCAGGCTTGCCCTGGAGTTGTGCATTTATTCAGGCTCTCGGGTTTCCTTTCATGGATAGTTTGTTTTGGTTTTGGTTTTGGTTTTTTTAATAAAAGTCTTAGCACTAGGTCATTGTTACATATATGTGTGTCTTGACTTTCTAGTTCATATAGAGGTGTTAGAGGTGGGAGACACAAATCTCTTTACTAAAATCCCTACAATGCCCCACAGTAACAGTGCAAGAATATTCCCTCCTGTGGCATGCTAGGGTGTTCATACAAAAAAAGGACACGTGGTGGCACTAGAATCAAAATGAGTTCAGTAGACTGCAGAACATAAAGCAAGGCAGTTTATTTTTAAAAAACGTTGCCGTTTGTGGTTTTTACACATTGGTACATTATGTTCTTCAGTGAGAGTTTTCCTTGCTATGAGACCATTACTTGAGTAGGTGTTAACTACCTTGGACATTAGTTACGACATCAAGAAAAAGTCTGATCAACAACTTAACCCTAATACTTTCATTAATGGCAGGTAGATGTTTCACTTTTCCTTTTGCCATAGTATAATGTGTTTTAGTGAAAAAGCTCCTAACTGGGAAGTAAGATTCTTCAGTTCTTCACCAAAAAGGAAATTTCAATTAAAAGATACCTAAATTCCGGGCCCTCCCTGGTGGCGCATTGGGGTTAAAGCACAGCACTGAGAATCTAAAGCCGCTTCCGCATGAGTTCGATTCCCGCCTGCCCCGGAGGTGACCACGCGGCGCGGCAGACCTCTCCTGGCCCGCCCGCTGCTCCCCCTCATCAGTGTACTTTGTCGATCACCCTGTTCTGCTCCCCACCTTGTGTCTGGTGAATCCTCTCGCCGCCCCTGCACCTCTGGCCGGTACCCCATCTCTGTATGCACAAATAAAGTTTTTTTTAAAAAACCTAAATTTCATTCATCACCAGTCCCCAATATTTCCCATTTCTTAGCTATTTTCTGTGACTGAATAACTGATTAGCCGTTGGAATTTCAGAATCTTGACAGCTACCGTTTTTTTAGTGAAGCTCTGTAGTTGTTTAGACTGAAAGAATACTGTCAGAGCATTTCGCTGAGGGGGACACATCTTCTCTTGCCCCTTTCTTTTGTGCCTCCCTTTGCTCCTTAACCAGTTCCTAGATATCTGCATGGTGTTTGAAGTTTTGGGACATCATCTGCTCAAGTGGATCATCAAGTCCAACTATCAAGGGCTTCCACTGCCTTGTGTCAAAAAAATTATTCAGCAGGTGTGTATCTTAGTCTTTTGTATGTGGTGGGTTTTTTTAATATTATGAAAGTATCAGGAGTGTCCTGTTTCTAGTTTATTTTAAAAGCTGGGGTTTTTTTAATTTCTAAAAATTGCTTTATTCAGCTTCTAGGATTTATTGTGATTGTGTTTTTAAATGTATTTTCATAAACTATTATTAGTAGAAAGATGTATATACAGTGCCTGACTTTGAGATACTGGAGCCCTCATCTCACCAGTAATTGATTTTGTGTTAATAGAGTATTGCTGTGTCAAATTAGCCACTGTCTTTACAAAATGTTATTCATGGGTATTTTCTAAGTGGCCTTTGATCATACAGTAAAAAATTTTTATCACCAGAAAAATAGTAATGCTTCAAATGGCAAATAATTTGTGTAGACAGTTTGTTTTCATGGAAAAAGCTCTCCTAAATGGGAAGTAAGAGGCCTCAGTAAAGGGCTTCTTTACCATTTAGTCTCAGGATTACCTGCAAAATAGAATTAGTTTTGTGAAACTTGTAAGAAATTGTTATTGTAAGTAACTCTCAGCCTTGCTCAGCATTTACCATTAATCGGAGGAAGTTTCTCTGTGTTTAAAAAAAAAATGCTTGTCTTTGTAGAATACTGCGTAATGTTGTATTGCGATTTCTGCTTGTTAAGCCTACTATCTGTTTCCACTCAGGTGTTACAGGGTCTGGATTATTTACACACCAAGTGCCGCATCATCCACACTGACATTAAGCCAGAAAACATCTTGCTGTCAGTGAATGAGCAGTACATCCGGAGGCTGGCAGCAGAAGCAACAGAGTGGCAGCGGTCTGGCGCTCCTCCGCCCTCGGGATCTGCAGGTATACTTGCTTGGGGGTTTTGTACTCGTTAGAAATTAAGAAAACTTCTCAGTTTTGTTCAATGACCATTGGTTCACTTAACATTGTACAAGAGGTACTATCTGTGTAGGAACTGGTACCATCCTGCATGAGACTTTCATGCTCAGAGCTGCTTTCATGTGGGAGACTAGAGACTGTCTTTTAGGTGCATATATTTTGTATATTGTAAAAACTAACCTAGTTTAAAGTGTTTTTCTTGTGACTTGATGGCCATTTTTTATGTGTTCACTTCTTACAGTGATCCTGCATGCTCACTTATGAATCAGGGACAAGATAACATTTCTGTTAAGTGTTTGGGGTTAAGCACTGGAGTAGGCAGACCTGGTTTGAAGTCTGGCTTCATAACTAGCAAGTCTCTTGATTTTATTTTTCCCTCATGCAGGAATGACTGGGGTGAAATTTTATGATAAAGCAGTTAGTATTGTTCCACTTAGTAAATGAATGATGGCTGCCATGATTGTGATTTTTTTTTTTTTCCATTTGCAGCATGGATTTTAATTTTAGTAGTTTGTGTTTGAGAACCTTTCCTGATCCTCAAGCTGAACTGTTCAGTTGCAGCCTTTCTTTAAAACAAAAAATTCTAGGAGGAGGAAATGGGGAGCTAGCTACTCTATGGGCACTGAGTTTCAGTTCGCAAAGACATTCTAGAAATATCACACAACAATGTGGGTGTATTTAGTACTATTGAATTGTACACTTAAGAATGGTTAAGATTAGGGTAAATTTTTATATCGTTTCTCTTTTAACCAATTAAAAACTTTTTTATAAAAGGAAAACTGGGACTTTACCTCCTACCTAAACTAACCTAATGTTCACAACATGTTACATAACAAATTACTTTAACTTTTGATGCCATTCTTACAAGGACCAAGGGTAAGAATTAAAGGTGGAAGTTCTAAGTGGGGAATTTCATGGGAATGGGATTTTATTTCAAAGCCTTGATTGTAGAAATCAGAAATGGGGATCTTTGCTTTTTTGTATATATTGATGCTATTTGGAGAAGAACTGTCACTTAAAAACAGTAGTTTTCTTTATAATATAAGCTGTGCAAGAAAGACTTTTCGTTCTGATAGAGTGTCTTATATGAGCTTTAGTTTATATTGCCTGCAGAATACCAGAATTCTTACTTGGTTTTCTTTTCTTTTCAGTCAGTACTGCACCCCAGCCAAAACCAGTAAGTATAAGGTGTTTATGTGTTTAATTTTTGTCTGTGGGCCATGGGTATGGAGTCTTCTGTTTGGATGATCACAGTTTGTTTCAAGTTTGAAAACCAAAGAAACAAATTTTCCTGCACTTCTATAATTTCCTCCAGTAAATTCCCATGTTTCTTCAGCAAGTTTGTACTGGTGAGGCGTCTATAAATTTGAATGTGTCTGAGAGTACGCCAGCCCACAGTCTTCTCAGAAGATCAAGATTTATTAATGTGCTTTTATTGGTTTCGTAAAAATACTATTTTTTTAAGTTAATAAAAAGCATAAGTGCTATGTTAGGGAAAGGATTTAATTAGGAAGTAATTAAAGTTAACAGTTATCTCCAACTGGGGGTAATGGATTAGCCACCTGAAGGCTTTATCTGTTTGTAATCTCCGCCCAGGCCGACAAAATGTCAAAGAATAAGAAGAAGAAATTGAAGAAGAAGCAGAAGCGCCAGGCAGAATTACTAGAGAAGCGAATGCAGGAAATTGAGGAAATGGAGAAAGAGTCGGGCCCTGGGCAAAAAAGACCAAACAAGCAAGAAGAATCAGAGAGTCCTGTTGAAAGACCCTTGAAAGAGAACCCACCTAATAAAATGACCCAAGAAAAACTTGGTATAAATAGAGCATCACAAAAGTTACTTTATAGCAAACTTTAACATTAATTTATCATTGTTATATAATATAGTAGTTTCATGCATACAACATTTCTATGGGGGTGTCCTTATAAGTAAGAATGCAGAGCTTAACATAAATGTTAGGTAGGTGATATTCAAATGTAATTTTGACTTTCCTCAGGAGATGCAACATAGAATTCATTTAGCAAATGGGTAAGGATAACACGATCTTGGTCCTTCTGTAAATAGGTTTAAAATGTTAGTCATGCTTTTATATCATCCATTATTATAATTTCTAGAAAACAATGTTGGTGAGAGTTTTTTCTGTTCTTTCATGCTTATGCCTGCACATACACATACATCCTTTTTGTCTGTTTGTTCTTTAGAAGAGTCAAGTACCCTTGGCCAGGATCAAACACTTACGGAGCATGGTGTAGAGGGTGGTGCAGCAGAAATTAACTGCAATGGAGTAATTGAAATCGTTGATTATACTGAGAACAGTAATAAAGAAACATTGAGGCTTAAAGAGGATCTCCATAATGCTAATGACTGTGGTGTCCAAAATTTGAAGCAGGAACCTTGTTTGCTAAACTCCCAAAATGGAGATAGCAGTGCATCTCAAGAAACAGACTCTTGTACACCAGTAACTTCTGAGGTGTCAGATACCATGATGTACCAGTCTTCATTAAATGCAGACCAGTCATTCTGTGGACAGGATATCAGCCAACTTCAAGAAAGCATTCGGGCACAGTTACCCTGTGAAGATGAGCAAGAACAAGAACACAATGGACCACTGGACAACAAAGGTACTTCTACAGAACATGGTCTTGGATTTCTAGACTAAAAGTAGGATTGTCTTTGCAAATAGAGCATTACGGCAGATGTCTTAAGTAAATCACTAGCTAATTATGAATTTTACTGGTCCTGTAGTGATGTACAGCTTGACTTTTTGCTTTGAAGTCAGAGATTTTAATTTTGCAAATTTACGGCGTTCCTGAAGTCTTAGAATTATTATTTATGGTTTCCACTTGGGGGCCGGGATGTATTACCTCAGAAAAGTTTTAAACTGAGTTTTCTGTATTCATTGAATAATTATATATAAATACATTTATTTTTAAGATCTTATTTTTATTTTGTGTAGAAGATCTAGGGTGTAAGCCAGGATGGGAGGAGTAAGAGGATTCACCAGAGACAGCAGGGAGCAGAACAGGCAGATCCACTGAAATACACTGCTGAGGGGAGCAGTGGGTGGAACAGGAGAGGTCTGCTGCACCATGTGGGTCATCACCCAAACAGGGATAAAACTCAGGCTGCCACAGTGGGCTTTGCAGTGATAGCACTAAGGCTTAACCCTCTAGGCCACCACGGATGCCCTGAATAGTCTAATTGATGAAGCCTGTTTTCTGTAGGAAAATCCACTGCTGGGAATTTCCTTGTCAATCCTCTTGAGCCAAAAAATGCGGAAAAGCTCCAAGTAAAGATTGCTGATCTTGGAAATGCCTGTTGGGTGGTAAGTTAAACTTGTCTCTGTGCCATTTTTAAGTGATGAAATGAAAAAGAATTTGAACCTGGTTATGCTAAAGGAATAAACCACCTGCAGTCCTTTACTGAGGTTGCCATTTAACATGATTGAAGATTTTTCACTTAACTTACTGACTATATCCTTTTAACTCAAGATACTTTAGACACTTTGTCAACTAAATATATAAAATTTAGTTGGTTGTTGAGTATTTCCTGGTATACTGTGACCTTTACACAGTTTTGACAACTATTTGTGATGGGCATCTTCGCTCATGAATCTGTGTAGTTTTCCTTGGGACATGTCCTAGACATGAAATTGCTGTGTCAAAAGTGAAGTGCTTTATTTAAAGTGGGGACTGATATGTAGTGTCTTAATAATACTGTTGTTAATCTAGTTAAGATTTTTTCTGTTATTTTTAATGGCTATTCTGAATCTTCAGTAGAATAATTTGTTACATAAATGAGACAACTTCATATAGCTCTATGCTTTGTGAAATGTTGAAAATTGTTGAGGCAGATGCATTTTAATAGATTTGTTTATTTTTGAATTTCAACTTCCCTATTCCTTACCCTCACAAGGTCTCAATTCCTATCTTGACCCTAGAATATTAGTAACCCTTAAAAAGCAAAAATGAAGTCAGTATCACCAACTAGTAGAAATGGGGAAAAGCTTTCCAAATAAATAAAATTAGTCCGCCATGCCGTATTGGCCCAGCCACCTGGATGACTGCAGTGGTGTCCTTCTCTCCCTTCGGCAGCCCTTACCTGGTGCAGACTGTTACCAGCATGACCTGTAGTGATCCTTCTTAAATATGTCAGATCAAACATTCGCAAAGCTGCTGTTTCCAACAGTGACTGCCAGAGTCCTTATCATAGTCCACACCACCAAACAAAGAACACTTAGGTTTTTCTGCCTGCATTTTCTTTCCGAGATAATGTAACAACTCAGTCCTTTAAACTCTTCAAGTTTCTTTTCAGATGTTATCTTCCCAGGGAGATCTTCCCCTAAATGCCTAACAAAGTTATATATCACAGGGGAGAAGTAAATCTGTAAATGACTCTTAGGTTGTGTGCATGCAATGTCAGCAGTGGATTTTGTATGCATAGGGGCCATGGCGAACAAAAGTGACAAGATTAAATCAAGGGGGACTGATGCTGCTAAGAAATACGGTCGGCACAGGGTACACAGGTGGCTGCCAGTCTGAAGTGCTGTGCGGTGACTAGGTAGGAGGGATTTTGGAACCACCATGAGGTGTGGTCAGTTGAGTAAACTGGTACATGGTGTGTGCCAGATTCCCAGCCACCACTCTCCAGACCCATCTTCCTCGTAATTCGTTCTCATTTGTTTTCTTCCTCCACAGCACTTACTACAGTCTGGCACTAGAAATGTCTAATATCTGTCTCCTGCAAATAGATGGCCTGTCGTGGCAATTTTGTTGTTGTTTCTGTTTATGGTGCTTACAACAGTGATGATGCATAAGAGATGCTCAGGAAATAAAGCAAATGAGTTGTATGGGAACATACTGGCTTTTACAGATACCACACGGTACAAACATCAAATGCTTGACACTTTGTTGCCCACGCAATGTTCTGGGCCTCCACACCTTTGTGTTTGGAACACTTTCCCCGTGCTCTCGTCACCTCTTTGGCTAAAGAACAGTCTTTCCTGGCACTTTTACTAACACACTTCTTTTCTTACTATTACATAGCTACATGGGTGGTTTATTTTTTAACATAACTCTATACTGACAGGCCTTTTTGTTCTTGGCATCCATTCACTGATTCAACAAGCATTTTCGTACACACACTGACCGGCGCACTAGGCACAGTGAACTAGACATGGGCACTTTGTCCTCCTGGATCTTACTGGTCTCTAGCATAGCACATCAACATTAAGTAAAGGAATTTTATGTGATTTTTAAACCGCTTTCTGTTTTAAGTATAATTTTGTTTATTACTGTATATATAGTTTTAGAGACAAGTTATTTTTATATTAAGAAATTACCCTTTTGCCAATTTTTCACTCCTTATAACAGTATTTATCGTCATATTGCCAATAAATGACTTTGATTTTATTACTCCTGGGTTTTTTTTTCTCCCCTAATTTAGGTATTTCTTAACCCTGGAAAGTGGAACTTACACACACACACCCCATGCCCCACCTTCCCAATTTGTGATTTTTGACGAGGTAATCTCTATTTACCTCATAAGACTCTAATGCTAGCTTCACCCAAACAAAGCATAATTGTGTATAACTCTTTTTTCCCTTTCTGCTTAATGCTGTTATGTTTGCTCAGTTTTCTTTGAGTCACTTCATTTAGCTCTATACTTTGACTTAGTGGTATAAATACATACAGTGTAAAACATACAATACTTTGGGTATTCTTGCAGCTTCATCTGCATAAAGAGCTCTGTTCTGAAACCTGGAGTCTTTTAATCTGTGTTCATCTATTGGTTGTTTTACAGGCCACTGCATTAATGTCATGTGAGATTCCCTTTCACAGTGTTCCTGGAGATTGTTTACTCTCTCATTAAATACTCTGTTTTCTGTCTCTGTGATCTTATTTCTTGGTTTCCTTCAGCATTTTGTAGAGGAGCGATGGGATTGCAATAGCTTCTTTAAAAAGAATGTACTGGGGGTGAGCGGTCCATCAGGGGATCTGGAATGTAATAATGTCTTCACTATGCTTTCATACTCACCTGTGTGTAGCACTCGAGGTCAAAAACCATTTTCCCTCAGAATGTTGGTCATTGCTCCATTGTTTTATAACTCTTCATTTGTTGCTGCCAAACACCAATGCCTTCCGTGTCATTCTGTCAACAGAGATATCTTTGCTAGGTCTATTTTTATCCATTATGCTAAGGAATTGGTGTGCATTTTTTGTTGAAACTGAATGAATCATTGTAACTTTTCTTTGCTATTTTTAAAATTCTCTTCTTGTCTCTGTTCTCTCATTGTGAATAGTTATTCAAATGTTAGACCTCCTTATAGATCCTCTTGTTCTTCTGTATCTCTTCCCCCCACCTACCCCTCCCCCTTTTTTTTGGTCACTTTGTTCTGGCTTTATTTTCTGAGAGACAATCTCAGCTGTTTTTTAAGCCTATTGTTTGTCATTTCTCCTATACTTGCTAAGTGTTCTTTTGTTCTCAGATTATCTCTTAGAGGCTATTGATTGATTATCTTCCCATTTTTGACATTTTCTTCTTCCTATATGGTGTGTATTATTGCCTTTCTGCTTAGGATCACTAAACAAACAGTTGACCATATGAATAGAATGCTGCAAGCTCTTTCCTTGGGTGGGTCTTTGTCTGAGCTGTTAACATTTCATCCTTAGAATAAACCTCCCACTGTGGGAACAGGGAAGAGTCTGTTAGTCTACCCTATGTTACAGAGGTGTTTTAAACAAGGGAATGAGTTCTTAAACATCAAAATATTTTTTATAGTATCCCTGTGTTGAAGTTCATCCTCACTCATACTCTACAGATACCTGATAGTACTGAATTCTGTGTCTTAGGGGATTGAGTACTCTGGTACGAATCACAAATTCTTGGATCCATTAAATTGCCAATGATCTCTGTTATTCGGCTAAAAAAAGTTTTATTTCTCTGATTTCATTAGTCTCTTTCGGTTTATGGTTTAAAAATTAACACTGGATTCGGCCCTCCCTGGTGGCGCAGCGGGTTAAAGCACAGCACTAAGAAGCTAAAGCCACTTCTGCATGAGTTCGATTCCCGTCTGCCCCGGAGGTGACCACATGGCGTGGCAGACCTCTCCTGACCCGCCCGCTGCTCCCCTCAGCAGTGTACTTCGTCGATCTGCCTGTTCTGCTCCCCACTCTGTCTCTGGTGAAGCCTCTCACCCTCCGCATCTCTGGCCTGTACCCCAGTTCTGTATGAATAAATAAATAAATCTTTAAAAAAAAAATTAACACTGGATTCTCTCCTAAAGTGGAGTTTCAGGAGTGAGTGAATGTACATGTATATATCCAGTTCACCTTTACTTTTGCTGTTTCTTGATTTCATTAACTATTTACAGTTTTTTTTGTAAGGCAGTTCTGAGGCACAATGAGTAAAGACAATTCCCTTGAATAATTATGTCCATTTTTAAGATGTATCACGTGCAGTCCACTTCCTCTTCAGACTTAGTGTCTGAGCCCAGTTTTCCTGTAAAGCCACTTCCCTCTCTAAGTTTTATTTTTTGTTTTCAATAGAAGACCAACCCTTTAAGTTTCTAACATAAAATTATTTTTGGCTCATCTACTGTTTACCATCTCTAGCTAGTCTGTTTTGTTCTTTCTGTGAATGTCCTTGGATTTAACCCTCTAATTTCCACAACCTTTATTCAGATTTTCATTACTCTGCATAAATCTCGCCACCAGCCAGAGATTACTGGAATAAGGTTCTCAGATACCGTGTCAGTCTTTAGCATGCTCCTAAACCCACATACAGTGGTGCTCAGATGGATAAATCTAAAGCCTTTATCCCAAGAATGATTAAATTAGCTTTAGTATATGTCTTTCTGGGCCTTAATTTTGGTGTTTCTTCTGCCTAGAGAACTTTCTGCTCTTTTGATTAAAGCATAGTCTGGTACTCTTTGGAGTCCTGATCCATACAGATTTTCTACGTGAAGCTTTCACTGCCGGATTTCCTTTCTTCATAAATGCTGTTTGTTATTTGTAGACTTCAGTAAGATAAGGGAATTGTCTTCCCTACTTTCTTGAACATTTTAATATCTAAATTTTTCTTGTATATGGCTCTAAGCTTTCTCTTTTTTCCTGTATTCTTTTATTTCCAAACATATATAAAAGTATGTATAAAAGTGAAAGAACAGAATAATGAACTCCTGGGTCATTATTATACCAAGCTACCCAACAATCACCAAGTCATCACCAGTCTGTTTTTACCTAGACCCACACTCTCACACTCCAAATTATGTTAATGTCTTCACAAGAATCTTGTTTTAATGGGGTTTCTAAAAAGCATCTCTTTATAGTGTAACCATTACATCATTGTTATACTTAAAAAAGTTGACAGTTTGCTAATGTTAAATATCCAATCAGTTTTGGTTGTTACCATATAAACATTCTTTTAATTTTGTTTGAAATGGAAACCAAATAAAATCCATACCCAAAATACAAAATTGGGTATTGTGTTTAATTGCTTGTAAGGTTCTTGAAACTTAAATTTACATCATTTATTTCCTCATAAGGAGCATATAGCAAGAAAAGGTTTGAATGGAACCTAATTTGGTGCTATCTGTTGAAGTACAGTTTATTTAGTTTAGCTAAATGAACTGTTTTATTTCATTTTTGTTTGGGTTAGTCAGTAGTTTTTCATTTCTTGAAAATAATTGTTATGCCTTCATCTGTGGATCTGTTTAGACTCAGGTTTGCAAAAACAGTTTGTGTAAAGTGGAGTGCCTTTTGAACATAATAGAATCAAAATAATATTTAAAAAATGAGGTAAAAACTTCAGAGAATTTATTATAATGACCATTAAACAGTCATGACTTGTTACTTTAGAATAAATTAATTTTAAAATACTGTTACCCTTCTCCATTTACTCAGCACAAACATTTCACTGAAGATATTCAAACAAGGCAGTATCGCTCCCTGGAGGTTCTGATAGGATCTGGCTATAATACCCCTGCTGACATTTGGAGCACCGCATGCATGGTAATTTTTTCCCCTTAACTGTTAACTTGTTATGTGATAGTCACATACCTTGCTCTGTTGGCTAATTTTAGCAGACCAGCAAATGAACAGACAGGAAAAGGAACTTGGTGACTTTATCACTAGCATTGTAAATTCCATGTCAGAGAGGCCTGAATTCAAAAGCCCATACAAATATCTGGAATTCCATTTGCTTCCTATTAAATTCCTGTCAGATGAAACAGCCATGATTTCAGGATAGGCTTTTTCTGTTTGGGTCATAGTTTTCTCATAGCTAAAGGAGAGGTGTTGAATAAAATGTTATCTGATCAAGAGCACCTACTAATTTTCAGGTCTTAACGTTGTAAACTATTATTTGGATTTGGTTTGTTTTTTTTTATCAATAGGAGATTTTATATATTTACATTTCTGTGAGTTTACACCCTTGAGGGGCATAGCATCACAGGGACTGTGTGTCCAGTGCCTTACCAGAATATGGCACACCACTGTGTGTATAGGCCCGGGTTTTGTCCACTTAGCCACCCAGATCAGTGTGTTGTTCTTTGTACATGTGAGCACATTTCTTGCCTAGATGGAGTCCAGTTTCATCGCAAACAAAAAAGTACCTTTAATTTTAAGAGCCTTTTGCTTCCTTAGTTTTAATACCCTGCTAGAGCCAGCAAAACTGGCGCCTTTGGAGACATGTTTGTCATTATAGAAGTTCTGTCACCAGGAGGCCGCCATAATCTCCAAAGAGGCCAAATGGGTGGTTTGGGTCTTTTTGCTGTTATCTACATTTTAACAACTACCTCATGGTCCAAAAACAAAGTAAATACTTAAGTGGAAACTTTCAGAAAATTCTAAAACTTTTTTTTTTTTTAAATTTCAGTTTCTGTGTTTTCACTTAATTCCTACTTAAGATTTTTAAAAAGACTTTAACAAGTTTTCATGAATAAGAATTGATGTTTTTTTTTTTTGTTCCACTTTGGGACTATAAAATAAACCTCAGGATAAGTCAAGGTTGAGCAGGTATCTACTCCCAGTGTGGTCAGTTTCATAGTGAACTGCTGGACTGTGTAGCAAACTGTTCCTATCAAAAAGCCATAGCACCCTGACATTTTAGAACAATCCTGGAACATCTGGTTTTATAGCCTTGATGTGTGTGTTATTATAATTTTGAGAGAGATTGTCCTATCATGAAATTGCAGGAACTGGCACAGACAAGCCACTGAGATCTGAGTTTAAATTAAGAATGTGCCCCCCACTGATCCTGAGATTACTGAACTAATTAATTAGTACCATTGGCTCACTCATATCAGCCTATGACTAGCTATTAACTTCTAAATGGCTGTTTCAGTAAGGGCCATTTCAAAATTACTTGTTTTTTTTGTTTTTTTTTTTTTACCCATTTTTAATCAATGACAAATTAAAATAGCTTCATTGCCTTAAGCTATCATTCCACACTGCTTGGTAATTCCTCCAGAGGAAATTACCATTTTAGAATTAATAAGTTATTCAATAGAACCACCTCACTATCCAAATGTGCCCGCTCAGTAAAAAGAGAACCTCAAGAAAGCTGAATTGCTGCATAGGGGTAGGGTGGGGAAATGGCATGGAATAATTGATTTGATGATATTAACAGATTTTGTTACTTTCTTGCTCCATTTATTAAGATACAGGTGTGGAAGGAACTCTTTAGGAATAATCTTAAACTTCTAAAACATGATCATCTGCAGGTTTTTCCAGAAGGAAAAGATTATTTAATATTGAGCTTAAAAAAAAAAAAAAAGCAACTTCTCACAAAGTCTTTTTTTCCTTTTTGGATGTTTTCATACTTTTTTTTTTTTTTTTAAGGCTTTTGAACTAGCCACAGGAGACTATTTGTTCGAACCTCATTCAGGAGAAGAGTATACTCGAGATGAAGGTGAGTAGCGAGGGTATCTGTGTAGCATTTAGGCCCCACATGCAGCTAAAATTATTTGTTAATTAAGGAACTTTGATGTCTTTAGTGTGCTAAGTGTATGTAATTCACAGAGAATATAGCAATATAAGAGCTGACTTATATTAGATATGTTATAATAGATAGTAATGAACTTAACATGAAGATTAGAGAAAAGTTTAGTTGATTAAACTAAAACTTGTAATTCCCTGTTGATTTCTTCTAAAACATCTAGTTATTTCTTTCTATAAATTAGTGGTTCTTTTTTTATTTTTTTAAGACTTATTTACTTACGCATAGAGAACTGGGGTACAAGCCAGAAGTGCAGGGCGGGGTGAGCGAATTTACCAGAGACAGGGTAGGGAACAGAACAGGCCGACTGATGAAGTACACTGCTGAGGGGAGCAGCGGGTGGATCAGGAGAGGTCTGACATGCCATGTGGGTCAGCTCCCTGGCGGGGGATTGAACTTGTGCTACAGTGGCTGTGGAGAGCTTCATAGTGCTGTGCTTTAACCCATTGAGCCACCAGGGAGGGCCCAGTGGTACATTATTTAACCAGTTTATAGCTACCTGCTCATCAGCTTGTTGCACAATTATGCCTCCCACTTTATTTGTAAATAATTGTAAAACACAAGTATATTACTTGAATGCAGAGACTGTATCCTATTTCCCTAATAAATTCCACAATATTTAAGCATTCTTTTTTTCCCCTTTTCGAAAATTACAGCTCTATTTTTAAAATCTTACTAACATATAGAATTCCATTTTAAGACAAAATATTGATTTACATTTTGTAAAGGTAGCCAGTAGAAAAAGCCCACAAAAGTAATGTGAATGAAAAGCTACCAACGAAATGTTTTGCCCTCTTTATTACAGAATTCAGGCAGCTTTTATTTTCAGGATTAATGGAAATTAAAGAGTAACAAACCCTCCCAATGTAGAAAATATATGTCCTTTCTGTGCATTCTTTTAATTCTTTGTGAAATCAGGTTTTGTGCTCTGTGGAACCAAGAATGCCCAGAATTTCTCATACTGTGGTTCCCTGGGATACTAATAAGCAATGTTAGTAAGGCCTCCTAAGGTTCCTAAATAAGTACTGTTTGGACAAAGCTATGATAGCTAATTCCCATAGCCACGTGTCTATTTTAGTGGCTACCGCCTGGACATGTTTTCTTATTCAAAAGTCCATGGTAAGAATAGTCTTTATTTACTGTGTTTAAGCGTACACTTGATTTTTCCTGTTCTGCTTGCTTTTTTTTTTTTTTGTTTTAGAAGCACTGTATAATATCTTTCAGAAACCCATTATATCTTTTGGGGAGGTAAAGATACATAGATAAGATTTTGTTCTCCCCTAGACACTCTATAATGTGTGGCACAGAATACATATCGTGGCTAGAATTATATTGTGTAGGATATTATGCTTGCAAATCTGAAGATTGAAATGTTCAATAAAGAAAACCATCTGTCCTTGATATGTAAATCCTACTTTTTTAGGATCTCTCCTGCATCAGTCAGGACTAGTAATTCTTAGATGAAACCTGTAACTACTATAATTGAGCCATAAGAAGGAAAGAAGAAAAGCCCTGGCCACCATATGCCCGCCATGCCATACTCGTGTGTGGCTGTTGCAAGCCGTGGTAATCCTGGGACCAAAGCAGTCTGGCCTTTCGTTGACCTTCCTTAGCCCTGACTTTTGGAATAATGCCTGATAATTTTGCCTGACAAGTGTATCAGTTCTGTGATTAATTGATAATCAGTCATTGGTTGCAATTTTAAGGATAAAATACTTGTTTGCTATGGAGAAAAGAACCAATCATTTAGAAGTTTACAGTAAAATAAAACCATAGTCTCATTTATAATTGATTTATGCAAAGACATTTAGGTCCAGGTCCTGCCTGAAATTGGCAGGTATTTCTTGGCATCAGATACTTGTTACCAAAGCATAAATTCAGTCAAAACTAGTGAAGTCATAAGTGTAGAGCTCTTTTAAAATTACTGTTGAGGCCTTGACAAAAGAAACAGAAATCTGTAACTTTAACTCCCAGGTATAGAGATGTCTTTAGCACCTGTAAGGTATGTTATTGGAGTTGCTGAGTGATGCATTTTGACCTTGATGGCTTGAAAAGTTGTCATTTAGAAAGCTCTTTTGTAAATAAGAGCCCTCACTTTTTAAGACCTCTTCATATTCTTATTATAGTTCCTGTCACCAGCAGAGTGAAACAGTAGAGCTACTTCTACGTGTGTATGCTGGCCAGTCCCAGCCTCACCTGCTGCACACCTCCCTTATTCATGCTGTGATGGTTACAAGGCATGGCGTGATTGAGACATTTTAGTGACCTACAGATAGTCAGATGGCTATACTGTGTCATTTGTATATACTATACTATAATTTGTACTTCAAACGTGATTTATTTTTTAAAAATTTATAAAGCTCTGAAGTAGCCATAAGATGTAAATTTATGAAAATGATGGTGGACCAGCTTGTATTAGCCCTGTAGATTTAAGAAGTAGACCATTTATTCGCTCTGAAGGTCTGTTTTCTCATATTTAAAACAGGATGTTAATCTTTGGCCTGTTTTACAGCATTGTGAAAAATCATATGGAATGTTTTATCATTAGTATGCTTAAATACTCTTGAAACCAAAGCAGTATTATAAATAAATAACAGTTCTATTTAGAACTATTTAGAGTGCCCAGAGCATATTGGTACAGCTTTTCATCTTGCCTAAAAAAGTCCACCTGAACCTATATATATAGTGATACATAGAAAAATTAGAAGTAAAGATGTAGATAAGTCTCCACTCTAGAATGGGACTTGCCAGCTACTATCAGGTAACCAACCACCTGAAATAATTCTTGGCTTTCCCAGCCTTGGTTCTGTTTGTGGTTACTTTTAAACAGCTAATCCTTGGAAAAGCTGTTCATAGAAAAACCTCTTTTACAACTCGTCCTTGATCCTGTTCTTCTTACCCTTCTATTTTAGACCACATTGCGCACATTATAGAGCTGATAGGCAGAATTCCAAGACGCTTTGCCCTCAGTGGGAAATATTCACAGGACTTCTTCAATCGCAGAGGTAGTATTGTTAACATGAGTTTTCGTTTAGGCTCCAGGGATGCAACTTCAGGAAACAGAGCATTCACACCAAGATTGTTTTGAGTTATCACTTAGGTCCTATTGGAATGGGCTTCAGATTTTTTATGGTTTCCTGGACTCTCCACTAGATGGATAGAGTCCTCTTTTTCCCATTTAGGAAGAACGCAAGCCTGAAATGCTTTACAAAGAGGTGTGCATGCTGCTCTTTCTGGCAATGTCTAGAACTGCATTTGTTACTCCTGTTATGTATGTCTTTTTCCCTCCTCTTGAACTGTTTGAAACATACAGATCACATTGCATTGATCATAGAACTTCTGGGGAAGGTGCCTCGCAAGCTCATTGTGGCAGGAAAATATTCCAAGGAATTTTTCACCAAAAAAGGTAAAAACAAATGTTCCCACTAAGGGCAAAAGTGTTTAAAAATGAAGAGGTAAGTATAGATGCATGTATGTTCCCAATAATGACCAAAGGATGTGAGTCTCACCTTGAGTGTTTAGCAGAGAAGTGAAATGAGTGTGGTGGTGTAGCATAGACTAGTTTAAACAGCCAGCTGCTACACTAGTTTTGACATGACCTTTTTTTTTTTAAGATGTGTTTTTAAATTTATGCATACAAGAGCGGGGATGTAGGCCAGAGGTGTTTGGGGGTGAGAGGTGTCATCAGAGACAGAGTGGGGAGCAGAACAGGCAGACCTACCGAAGTACGCTGCTGGGGGGAGGAGGTGAGACCAGAGAGGTCTGCTGGCCATGTGGGTCAGCTCCCTGGGCAGGGATGGAATTGGGGCTGCAGCGGCTGCAGATCACTTCATAGTGCTGAGTCTTTAACCCCTGCACAACCAAGGATACAACCTTATTTTGATGGTTTCTAAATGAGGATAATGATTGTGTTTGCTTCATCTTAAATGGATTATGTGAAGTTGGTTGATTACTCCACTGCAACACTTGTGACAAATTTTTGCTGGCTTTTTTCTAAGAACTACCTCTACCAGAAGACAAGTAGTGTAGTTTTAAGCTTGAGGGAAAGGTTGGGTCTCAGTCATCTTGTCATCCAGTGACACCTAAACAGTTACTTAAACTCTAAAGTCAATATGAATCAGCTTTGGATTTTTCAGTTTAAGTTTATGTTAATGTTATCATTTGTTATGAAGAAAATAAAGATAAAACTGTCTCCAAAGAAGAAAAAATATATACTGATGTTCAAAATAGAGTGTGATGCAGCAGCTACAACTGGAAGCTATATGGGGAGTATTTTTTAAATTGCATTTTATACATATTTGGCATTGTTTTAGCTGTTTTTAAGTTATGTCCTGTTTTTGAGGTAACACTTGCTAATCTGTGGAGCTAAAGGAGTACAAGCCATCTCTGAATACCGTATGTAACTGTGTTGAGAATATAGGCATTTACCCTCATTTTAGTGAGTACCTCACTCTGTTGGGCCTGCCCAGTTTGATGGGACAAATAGTCCTGAGATGATGGAGGGAACAGATTATCTCTAAATTTTTAGGGCCTTGTGAAAAATGGAGACAGTTCTTTCCAGTCAGTACATTAGAAAAGAGAGGTGCTTTATGAAAGGAGGGTGAGATTCTGATGGAAAAAAGTGGTTCTCTATAGACTAACTGGATTAATTTGTCAGTTGCCACAAAAGGATCTTGTCACTTGTCCAAGTTGGTCAGTTTCTTGTATACTGTCTTTGCTGTAGGTGACCTGAAACACATCACAAAACTGAAACCCTGGGGCCTTTTCGAGGTTCTAGTGGAGAAGTATGAGTGGTCTCAGGAGGAGGCAGCTGGCTTCACGGATTTCTTACTGCCCATGTTGGAGTTGATCCCAGAGAAGAGAGCCACTGCTGCAGATTGTCTCCGACACCCTTGGCTCAACTCCTAAGCCCCTGCCAGAACGCAGCAGAGATCACACACTGACCCTCTGCCCCTCCTCTCCTAGTATACCCCACTCCCCTCTTCAGGGTGAAGCTCTTCTCAAGGATTTCTAGATTTTTTTTTTAAATCCAACATGTTCGTTTGGGCTTGCTTGCTTGACCCTGTGGATATCCCCCACAGCCACTGGGCATCCTAGGTAAATCTGGCCTTGATTGGGCTCTGCCAAAGACTAATGCTCTAAAATGTGAAACAGCCTCTCACCCTGTACCCTTGTCTTTCCACTGCTACACCCTTTCAATTATAAGCATCCTTTAAAAAAAAAAAAAAGAGCTATGAAGATAAATGAGCTCTTGCTTTTATTCACTGACTCTAAGAGTCAATTTTCTAGTGCATAGCTAGTGCCAGCATAAGGATGAGAAGGGGAAAGGGTGTTACTCCTGTGTACAGCAGAGGCATTAAACTTGCTCTGTCCAGGCTGCATTATCTTCCTGGATTGTTTCTGTTGTTCTCTATGTTCACATTTTTTCCCTGCGACTTTTAAGCTACTATCTTTTAAAATAAGCTGTTTAACACCGAATTTGGGTATCATTTTATCACTGTTCAAAGCACTGTCATAGTCCTTTCATCCTTTAATAAGTCTTTAAGATTTTTATTTGGGGGGGGGTGGAGAACAGAACTATTGACTGGTAATTTCTTAGGAACCACAAATAATCTGCAAATAGTCCTTTTCTATGTGTCTGTGTTACCCTAACAGCAGTTGTTATGATTGACTATTTTTGATGTTTTTTAATCCCTGGCTGGCACTTTACTCATTGCACTTGAGTTTATTGCCCCATAACTAAGAAATTCAGGATGACTTATAGAAAGAAGATCTGCATTTCAGATATTTCTCACCTTGAGTAGAAAATGCCATAAAGATTCTTTTCCAAGCAGTTCCCCTAGTTTTATTTACAGCTTGTTTTTGAGCCTTGTCCAACATTTTGGCCTTGAAGCAGTTTCCCTCTGTGGCTTTGCCTTTCTCATTTTCTCAGAGGCTTCAAGTCTTAAATGAAACCCCAGGATAAAAGAACCAAGGGGAGGAATGGGACAGCACTTTTTTCATTGTTTTGGGGGGGGAGGGGGGTTGTTGCCAGTTTTTAAGATTAGCTATTCTCTGCTGCTATTTCCTTGTCTGATGTAAGTTTTTAACGCCAATTTTCAGATGATTGCAATGTACTTGAGACTTTTTTTTTTTTTTTATGAGAAAGGCTTTGTGAGTCTTATTATAAGGTGGGCCTGACTTGCCCTAGACATTACATATTCTCAGCTAATACTGAAAAGCAAGAGAGACAGGATTTGGGGTACAGCTGCTTGTTCAGCACGGACCAAGCGGGCCTTGGGGTTATATAGCATTCTCCAGAAGCGGCTATAGGACTGATTTAATGAAGGCCAAGGAGATGCAACTTGAGGTGCAGCTTCTATTAGCAAAGCTACTGTTGCACCTGCTGGGTAGCTGCCTGTGTGCGGAAGATGAGACTCCAGGTTCTGTCCTCTCTCTACCACCAGTGATGGCAGAGGAAAAAGTGATGCCGTTAGGGAACCCATTTAACTCACAAACACGTTACCCTCAATAACTGGTCAGTCATTCATCAAATCCTTGATTAGGTAGTCCTGAAGCCAGACATGTTCCTGTAGAAAGAATTTTAAGTGAAGCTATCTATGCACCTATCAAGAATAAAGAATCGATTGTATCAACCAACGGCAGGGAAAATCCTTCAGCAATTCTAGTCCACTTTGGGTTTTCAACAATATATATACATCTAAAGCAATAGCAGACTAGAACTGAGTTCTTTACTGTAAAATCACAATTGTGAATTGCAGGGATTGTGATACTAAGGTGAAATAACCAAAATACACACATACATACAAATATAAGGACCCATTCAAATAATTGACTTGAAGACCAGTTTTAATAAGTGTGCACCTGTAACTTCATTTTGGAAATAATTACCCACCAAAAAAGGGCTTTTCCCCTATCATTTAAGGAGCCAGATGAATTAGAAGCTGTAGAAAGAGACAGCTATAGAATTTGATCTTCCAAGTACCCCATGTACCTTTATTGAACTTAATCATAATGCTGTCAAATTGCCATGATCTCATTAAAGGATTTCTATTTGCTGTCAGTTAAAAATAAAACCCCAAATACATTTTTATTCTTTCTACTGGGTGCATTGTCTGTTTTCTTTGTAAATGCAGTACAATAAAAAAAAAATATTTAATAACCTACCTGTTTCCAGAAAATTTCTATGCAATTTAATGCCCACATTGGTGTCATCTAAGATCAGAATTGGCTGAAATCATGCCACTTTGTGTATTTTAGCTTTCCTTTAATCTTTAATGTGGAGGCAGTAGAATCAACAAGTAACTTTTCGGAAACCTCCATCCGATAATACTCCCAGGGCAGGGTCGCCCTCCGACTCCATCACTGCACAGAATGCCAAGGACTCGTGAAATCTGAGTGGAGGTGGTGGTGTGGGCTGACTGATCAAACACGAGTTTTCAGACCCAGCTGATTCACTCCTTGGGAGTGACTCGGACAAATAGCACAGTTTTTAATAAATACTGTTTAATGGAAAGAACAGTTGCACCTTGACAGACAGTGTTTGGATGAGCGTTTTCACCCTGCCAGCCAGTTTGGTTCTCCTGGGGCAGCCTCGAGCCTTTGTACGCTTGACTCACCTCCACCGACGCCCAGGGCGCTCTGCTTTTGGCATGCTTCCCTGCAAGGGCTTGATAAGGGTTTGTTATTTAAGATCATGAGTTTTGGCATTTTTTTCCCTTTGACTACTTTACCAGTTTTTAATTTGCCTTCCCAGGTACTACATAGACTGTTTGAATCGTACTAGACTTAAGGCATCTGTAGTGTGTATATTACAATGTTCACTAGACTGTAACCTGTTTTAAGAAATAACCTTACAAATGAAATCAGGATTTACCAAACCAGTATGTTGACCATACTGCCAACCTAGTCTCCCTCTTAATCTTTGAGTTGGACCTTGGAACTCCAGGTTTTGCAAGACTGAAGTGCTATTCTAGGAGACTCGCTGTCTCTGAAAGAGCTGGCAAAATGAGGTAGACTTGTAACCTCACCTTTAGCTTCACTGAGCAGGCCCAGGTTATAAATGGCCTTCATTACTTCCCATTTTAATTTTGGAGCCAGCAGTCTTACAGATGAGCCTGTGGCTTCACCCCACCCTACTGTGTCGCAGCAAATTGGCGATTTATTGATAATGGAATCCAAACAAATTTATGTAGCTCCAAAAATACTTTATTACACCAAAGAAGCTTTGACTTTTTCCACTAATTTGGTGCCTTTGGAATCAGCAAGGCATTGGTAACTCAAGAGCCCCTTCACAGTCTTCAAAAACAGGCAAGTAAACCTTTGCTTTATTTAAAAAATAATAATAATAAGCCTTGGGGTCCTATGAGAAAGTGTTAACAGTATCACTGAAGTGTGATTTTAAAAATGTGAAAAGTGATAGGTGTCTGTACTTGTCCTTGCATAAATGTTAATCAACACCAATTCTTACATCAGAATATCCCAGTTAAGCCAGAAATTTTAACCTTTTGAAAGCTCAGAAGATACGTAACCAGGTTTGCATTAATACTTAGATGTGTTAATCAACTTGCACCATTCCTTATAAGGGGTTTTTAATGTGTAGATGATTGGTTTGTTTTTATATCCTCCCAGACTTTATCAACAAGCTTGAGCTTTGTTCTTACGAATTGTGCCCTTACAGCATTTGTGTTGGTTGCTTTGGATTTCCTAAATACAGAGCAAAATATTGGGTCAGTATTAGAAATTAGTGGACCCAACTGTATACATCGTGTTTAGATACAAATGGGAGTTTTGAGGGGCAGGGCACTTCTGCAGTGGTCCCTGCTTCCTGGTATTGCACTTCTGTCATACCCTTACCTGGACTTCGCGCTGTCCTATCAGATTCAGGCAGAAGTGGTGAGGTGTCATCTGACATCGGGTCACAGGAAGCTGTGACTGCTTCATATTCTTTCTTGGAACTGATGGTTGGGGAAGCGAGCTGAATGTTAGTATCCCTTGGGAGCCCACAGCCAGACCTTCAGAAACTGACTAGGGTAGACACGTCTGAATTTAGAAGCAGATCCCACACCTTAATTGCAGCCTGGAATGCAACCTTGGGGCAGAAACACTTTGATAAGCCTTGCCAGGATTCCTAACCCAGAGAAGTATTTTAAGCCAGTTGGTTGTGGAATAATTTGTTAGGCAGCATTGGCTAATAATACATGAATATAAGCTAAAGTACTTAGGATGTCTTTCCAATTCACATTTTAGCTATAAATGACTAGTTCTCTTGACCATAACCTATTCAGGACTAGTCATTATTGATAAAGCTTGGGTTTCTCAACCATCCTAATGCACCAGCCCAAAGGCCAAAAGTAGGAAAGAAATTAGTGCCTCACTGATTTTCTGTGTGCTTTCAAAGGTGAGATTCAAAGTGCCTTTAAAAATTTTTGAGGGTAAAGTCACTTTAAAAGAGCTTACTGAACAGCATTTTCTAGATACTATCCAAATTGCTACTGTTGATTGAAATTTTGAATTCTATTTTTGGGCATTTGGGTTGCTTCCACATCTTACCTATTGTAAATAGTGTTGTAATAAACATAGGGGTGCAGGTGTCCTTTCGAATGAATGTTTTTGTGTCCGCTGGATAGATACCTAGGAGTGGAATTGCTGGATCATACGGAAGCTCCCATTTTTAGTGGTTTGATAAACCTCCAGTTTTCCATAGTGGTTGCACCAGTTTGTATTCCCACCAGCAACCCAAATGCCCAAAAATACATGACTGGATCAAGAAGATGTGGTACATACACATAATGGAGTATTACTCAGCAATCAAACAAAACTCATGCCATTTGCAGCAACGTGGATGGAACTGGAAGGGACCATGCTTAATGAAATAAGCCAGAAAAAAAAAAAATACCGCATGGTTTCACTTATAGAAGGAATGTAAAGGATGGGGGGGGGGGCAGAGTGGAGGAAGTAATTGTAATAAAGTAAAAGCCAACATCAACAAACAACTATAAATCAGGGACATTCTACAGTGAGGGGGAATAAGATCAAATCAGTGGTGGGAAGGGACTGTGGTGATGGTGCACTGGTGAATTGGTGGGAAGTCCATGGGGATTACAACCAGATGAAAAAGCATACATTGTACAAAAATGAAGACTTGTTAAAAAAATACGTTTTTAAAAAAGTGTAATAGAAATAAATTGAATATCAACTGAAAAAATTTGAATTCTGAGTTTCTTTTAAAATAAGGAAAAAGGTTAAATGCTGTGTCTTATAGCTCAAACAGATTAGCAGATTCTTCCCCAACACTGACTCCTGCTTTGGTGATGCTCCTTGTGCCTGGGGAACAAACTTAGGCCTGTAGGCAGATATCCTGCAGCCTCCCAGAAGCCTCTGTGGACCACCATAGTTGCCACTTCAGGGGAATTAGTTTAAGGGCACAGGCTTTTAGAAATTTTACTTTCGCTTTATAAGAAGAAAATATGAGAAACAAATGTAACTAGAAAAGTCACTAAGCTACAGGATTTATCAAATTCTATCATTCATTCTTCAAGCTTGCATAAAGTAGGTGCCTAGCTGAAATAATCTTATCAGCACAAGGAACTAGAAATGTAATCTTAAAGCCCATCCTACTACAGTAGTTATGGTCATCAACCTCTGGGACAGTACTGACTGGTCCACACATTCCTGGCTCATCAAAGATAAGAAACTGCACACTGGGTGGGTTGTTGTGGCAACTAGTGGCAGAGGGGATCTATAGCCCAGGAGTAAGCTCCTGTCATCGGCTCACTGCTGCTAGATTGAGCGGTTAGATTCATTAGTTTATTTGGTACTTACCCCGCTCCACCTGCTTTTCATCTTAACTGAGTAAATGAGCAAAGGTGAGGGGGAAAAAAATCATTCCTTAGGATCTCGCACTGCAGACGACAAAATTCTATTTCTATATTCCACCCCCCAGTCAGGGAATAGCCTAAAGAACCATCTTTGTCTTGACTTTTGCTACAATGAGTTGTCACCTAAAAATAATTCTCTTCTGGAGACCAGCAGAATCACCACTTAGTACTCATGTACTAATGGGTGGCTGGTGATAATGCTGAAACTTTAATGCCTTGAGCCACCAGGGAGACCCCCAAGTCCACTGTTTTTGATGAGAGTTCTGGCGAGATGGTGGAAGGAGGAGGAGGCCAGGCTCGCCACCTCCTCACATATTTGATGAAATAATACACAGAGAAAAAACAGCCGGTGGGCAATGAAGGGCCATCATTTGGCGCAGAAAAGCTAGACGGCAGAGAGAGTAGGAAAAACTGCAAATTAATTTTACTTCGGACACTAAGGCAGTGTGACCCAAGAGAGGGAGGGAAGCTGGAACAAAGACCTTCTTGTTTTGTTGGTAAAGGCCTCACACCCACATTGGGGACATTCAAACTTGAGAGGGAGGCACAGACAGCATGGCATGGAAAATAGGGGAACCCATCTCCAGAGAGCAATAGAATTTGAAGGAATCCAGGGGCACAAATAGGTACCAGCAAACACCATACCACTAGAAATCAACCAGGGCCTGGGGGTGAAATACCCAGCCACTCCTCTACTAGGGGTGCATGAGACCATCACACAGTGCTGTGACTGCTGGTGAAGCACTTCAAGATGGTGAGTGTTAGTGAGAGCCTGTGCAAGCCCACCCAGCTCCTTTCCCCAGACCCACCCAAGAATAGACAGCTGGAGGTTGAGCCTGTAGGAGAGACCTGGCTAGATGAACCTGATGCAAGTGAAGAGGTCACCTGTGGCCTGGCACATAAGCGGCCCCTCTCTACACCCGGTTTATGTTAGAACATCTGCCTGGCCCCACCTGGAGCTTTTAGTGGGATAACATTCACCTAAGGTGCTTGCTACCTCCTATCAGAGTAGCAGGAGCTTCTTGCCTCAGGGTAAGGCTTGCAGCTGAAATCCTGTTAGAATCATCTAGCAGCAACTCTACCATGGCCGCAAGAACTGCAAGGGAGACAATCTTTAAAGATCCTGCCTACAGACCTGAGGGACACATCCCACTCATCCACCTGTGACTGTAACTGCAAGTGTGTTCTGTCCCCACACTCTGAATCTACAGTTTTT